TCACATATTTAGAGAACAGCCAGTTTTTGAAGCACTTTTACCTGTTCCTGTCATTTCATTATCAGTTATCTCTGGTAGAGTCTTTGGCTTACTCGCTGCTTTATCCTGTTCATCAAGCTTGACATCTACAATGGAGTCTAATGAATCAAGCAGCACAACTGCAAGAATATAAAGGGAAAAAATAATAGGAATATAGAGAAATTTGTGGGGCTCTTTTACTCTAGTAATTATTTTAATCATACGCAACATATATAAAAACAAAGATGTTTACAATAGTATATGATCATATATATACATATATATATATGCATGATTTTCTTCTTCCTATGTACAAGAGAGTAGGTTAACATAAACATAGACATCTGTGTTGTATACAGATCTAAGGTGCATTTATATGTGGAAGACAAAGTCCCTAAGAAAAATAACAAAAAATAAATATTCATAAATATAACTGGATGGATTCAAGATAGACATAAGAAACATTAAGCAAAGCTGTGAATTTTAATTCCTTAGGGATATTTAGAAACAAAGATAGCGATTTATTCAGAACTATTTAGATGCAATTCTAAACAGATTATTTTTGCCAACTAAATATATGACTATATATAATATTTACCATTAGCCAGCATGCCAGTTTTCTCTTCTTCCTAAATTAAAAGAAAATGAGCACATGATTTAAAACCAAAGTTATGTAATAAAACCACAATGCAAACAGACATAAAATTTGAAAACCATTTGAAAAGATGAGGAAATGCGCTTTCTAGGTTTCTTTCACAACTCTCATTCACCAGTAATTCTCCAAGACTAGAGACTGTAGCTCTGAGAGATCTTCTAAAAGTTTCTTCAGAACCTTGGCAATTACCAGTAATATACTTAGACCTTAATAAACCTTATTTAAAGTATCTACGTGCCATCTATTCATCTACATTGGGCAGAATTTCTCATATTATAACTCCAAAACAACATGGCTACTCTCATTCTAACATTACTAATCACTTTTCCCTTATTGTTCAAAATTAACTTGTACTGTTTCCTCTATATTCTGAGAGATGAAATTTTCAAAAAAGATCAAGGACTTACTAACTGTTGTATTCTTGGTCAAATTACACTCCAGCAAACAGCAGGACAGTTGAAGTTCATTGTCAGTACTACAGGTTCTCTCCACGTTTTCTAATTACTATCACCT